TGATGGAAATAGTTACCATGCTGTAGCTCCTTCTACATTTAAAGTAAGCTATATGTATACTTATTCGGAATTGCTTATGAATCTAATTTTATTCGCTAGCAAAGCACCATTAACTGCTATGCGCGCGTGGATAGCAAAGGTCAACGGTATTTGCTAGGAAACATGTATGGACAGTTATTTATGCTTTTCTTAGAGACCATCGACAATGGTAAAGGCGGAGTATCAGTCAAAGAAATAAAAGTGGAATTGCTAGGTAACTAAATAGAGGCACATATCTTTAGGATTATTATTTTATAATAATATATTGATAACAGGTGAAATTTCCATACCTGAATGCATAACGTATTTGGATAACGGCTTTCTATTCATTGGATCAAAACATGGCGACTCTCAACTTGTCCGTTTAAGTACAACGCCCAACGAGAATGGTTCCTACGTTATACCCATGGAGAACTTTACCAGTTTGGCACCTATACTTGATTTAGGTGTTGTAGATTTGGATCGACAAGGTCAAGGACAAATAATAACATGCTCCGGCAGTTTTAAAGATGGCTCACTCCGTATTATACGGTTAGTTTGTTGTAATCGGCAGTCATAGTAACAGATAACTAATACTAAATTCTTTTGTTGTAGAATTGGTATTGGTATTCAAGAGCATGCCTGCATTGATTTGCCTGGAATAAAAGGTATGTGGTCGCTTAAAGTGGGTATAGACGAAAGTGTCTTTGAAAACACATTAGTTCTGGCATTTGTGGGTCATACTCGAATTTTGACTCTAACTGGAGAGGAGGTTGAAGAAACTGATATACCAGGCTTTATTAGTGATCAACAGACTTTCCATTGCTCAAATGTTGATTATGATCAGGTAAGAAGGAAAACAAAATAAATATTAAAACAAATTATTGCAATCGATTTTTTCCTTTAAAGATTATACAAGTAACTCCACTTACTGTTCGCCTAGTTAAAAGTAGCACCAAATCCTTAGTAGGTGAATGGCAGCCGCCAGATGGTAAACGTATTGGAGTAGTATCGTGTAATTCATCACAAATTGTTGTTGCTTCAGCATGCAATGTATACTACATTGAAATTGAAAATTGCTGCTTGGCAGAAAAATCACACAGAGCTCTAGAATATGAAGTCGCTTGTTTAGATATTACCCCATTAGAAGAGGGTAAAAACAAAGCAGACCTTGTCTCAATAGGATTGTGGACAGATATATCCGTTGTGATTCTATCACTGCCAAAACTGGAAACCATGTATACTGAGAAATTATTTGGTGGTAAATATACAGTATCAATTACTAAATTTTCAATTTGCATTTACCAATATCTTCCCACATTTAGAAATTATACCACGTTCCATTCTGATGACTACATTTGAGGGCATACATTATTTGCTTTGTGCGCTTGGCGATGGTTCGATGTTCTATTTCATATTGAATCGATTGGATGGGCGTCTAAGTGAGAAGAAAAAAGTTACTTTGGGTACACAACCAACTACCTTGCGAACTTTTAAATCATTTGCCACAACTAATGTATTTGCCTGCTCGGATCGTCCCACGGTTATTTATTCGTCTAATCATAAATTGGTATTTTCAAATGTCAATTTGAAGGAAGTAAATCATATGTGCTCACTGAATGCGCAGTCGTACCCAGACAGTTTGGCTTTGGCCACAAAAAATTCGGTGATTTTAGGCACCATCGACGAAATACAAAAGTTGCATATTCGTACTGTGCCATTGGGTGAGGGTCCACGACGCATTGCGTATCAAGAAAGTTCACAAACCTTTGGCGTGGCAACGCTACGTGTTGATGTTCAAGGTCGTGGTGGTCCCAAACCCACGAGGCCGAGTGCCTCGACTCAAGCACAGAATATAACCTACGCTTCGAACATTATACCTAAACCGGGTGGCGGCAGTGCTGCAACTACAAATGCTGAAGTTGGTCAAGAATTGGAAATAAACAATTTGCTAATAATCGACCAGAATACTTTCGAAGTTTTACATGCGCATCAATTTATGCCATCGGAAAGCATAATTTCACTGATGTCCGCTAAACTTGGTGATGATCCGAATACGTATTATGTCGTATCCACCGCGCTAATCTATGCAGATGATCCAGAACCTAAAATTGGTCGCATAATTATCTTCCACTACAACGAAAACAAACTAACTCAAGTGGCTGAAACGAAAATCGATGGTTCATGTAACTCCCTGGTGGAGTTTAACGGCAAAGTGTTGGCGGGGATAAACAGTTTTGTGCGACTTTATGAATGGACCAATGAAAAGGAGTTGCGTATGGAATGTAATATTCAGAATAACATTTCTGTATTGTACCTAAAGGCCAAAGGTGATAGAAACTAGCTTGACAGATATGGACCAAATAGATTTCAATTTTATCACACACTCATACAGGTGACTTTATTTTGGTTGGTGATCTGATGCGTTCGATGACTTTGTTGCAGCATAAACAGATGGAAGGTATTTTCGTGGAGATTTCACGTGATTGCGACCCTAAGTGGATGAGGGCTGTCGAAATCTTGGATGACGACACATTTTTGGGTTCGGAGACTTATGGCAATCTTTTCGTTTGTCAAAAAGACAGGTAATTTTCTTAACAAAACATTTATTAGCAGTCTGAAATATTTTGTAACTTATGTTCTAGTGCCGCCACGACGGATGAGGAGCGACAGTTATTGCCAGAAGTTGCGCGCTTTCATTTGGGCGATGTCGTAAATGTGTTCCGTCACGGTTCCTTGGTAATGCAAAACGTTGGTGAACGTACAACACCCAATATGGGTTGTGTGCTCTATGGTTCCGTGAATGGTGCCATTGGTATTGTTACGCAAATACCGCAAGATTTCTATGATTTCTTACATAGCCTTGAGGAACGTTTAACAAATACAATTAAATCGGTTGGAAAAATAGATCACTCTTATTATAGAAGTTATCAAACGACACAGAAAACGGAGCCGTGTGAGAATTTCATTGATGGCGATTTAATTGAAAGTTTCCTTGATTTGGGTAGGGATAAAATGAAGGAAACCGTTATGGGCTTGGAGGTAAGGTGAATTTGAATTATTAATGTTTCAAATCATTTATTCTTTTGTTTAATAGCTTACACTAAACGGGGAAAAGAAGGAGGCTGATGTCGATGATGTCATTAAAATTGTCGAGGACCTCACCAGAATGCACTGAAGTGCGCCTTTTAATTTTAGTTTGATTTTTCTGCTATGCAATGTCCTAATATCCTTATCGATGCAAATAGATTTCGAGAAATGATTGATTGATTAATTGTTTAACCAATATTAAGGATAAATAAATATTACTTGTACACGATCGTTAAAATTAATACTTAAATTATTAGATTTAATTTACTTGCCTACCGTTATTTAATATTTTTGTATCTAAATTGCAAACATTTGGTAGCGTAGAGTGAAAGTAAATAAAAATACAAAAACCACAATCATATTCAGTAAGAATTATTTTGAAAGTGAAAGTATGACTGTTATTAATGGTGAAACAAGGGTAACCCTGTTTGTTAGATCAGAGGTTAGGTCAGTCTAGAGCCGTTGAAATGGCTTAACTATGAGTCAAAAGAATGAATTGAATGTCTCCTTCAAGCTGTATTAAATTAGTATTTGAATTTGAACAAATAAAAGATTCGTAATCTTCTTTCCTCAGCACCTCGGCGGAAGACTGAAGAATGACGGCCAAAGAACTTGATCCGAGGAACAGTATAATCTCCGAACATATTGTTCAAATCGGACTATTATAGCACATATCTGTCATACAACTGATTGTTCAAGTATGACAGATATGTGCTATAATAGTCCGATTTGAACAATAGGTTCGGAGATTATACTGTTTCATCGGACAATATTCTATGCAAAATTTGTGAAGTTATCATATAAAAAAAAAAAATCCATCTAAGGACGTGACTTTGATCGATGAGTTTTTTTCGCAGCTATATCTTTTAGTGAAATGAATTCAGCTGCTCCGACAAATGAGCACCTTTTTGAGGAGAAAAGGTTGTGAGTAAAAATTGAAATTGATAACTCATAAACTCAGGGACTAGTTCGCGTATATACGGACGGTCACGATCAAATGGATTCAGCTTCTCATGCTGATAATCCTTAAATTTATATATTTCAATGAGTTACCGATGTTTCCTTCTGTGTGTTAAAAACTTCCTGGAAAACTTAATATACATACAAAATTCAGGCTATAAAAAGTTCTAGTTTATTTGTAACCAGTCCATAAGTACATCACATAAAACCATCTTGTAATTACAACAACGCACCACATTCTTGAAGGGTCTCTACAACAAACGCACACCAATATTCGTGACGCGTGAAGTGCGCTAACAACCCCCACCGCCAGCGTCAACGCAAACATCAAAGCGTTCATCGCTTGCACTTCCAAAGCGATATTTCAGTATGATTTCGTTCCAAACATCCAACAGCTGCGACAGCATTCGCAGCAGCAGCGGCAGCGTCAATGTTCGCCACCCTCAATCAATGCTGTAGGTGTGTGTACTCACACTCGCCAATGCGGCTATGCACACGTACACTCCCGTGTAATTGTATTGCTTGTTGGTGTATGTTTTATGGGTCGACGCTTCGCCCGGCCGCCATTGTGCGCACGCACCAATCCCACCGCGCTGCTTCGCCTATTTCGTGGGCCCGCTTCGTGCTTGATCTTCCTGCATGCTATTGGAATATTTACATACATTCGTACATATGTATTGCTATTGTTATCACTGCTCATTGTTTTTGCTGTTGTGCTGCTTGTGTTTGCTTTGTTGCTGTTATCCAATTCGGCTGTTTGCTGTAACTCTCTGCCGCGCATTGCCAACACTTCGGCACGTTTCCGCCGCCTGTCTGAGCGTATAGGCTGTGCTGCCTGCTGCCTGCGTCTTGCTGTGGGCTCTGATTATTTGGATGAGGTCCATTTGTGGTGAAGTTCAGTCTCAGCTTTCATTCATTCCGATTCCAGCATCCAAGCGTGTTTCGCCACTCCAGTCGCACACTCACTAACCGTTAAGCTTTTCTTATCTTGTGTCCGTCTTGTGAATTTTTTCTTCTTGTTGTGCCAGTGTATTGGTAGTTGAGTTATGAAACGCGTTTGCCGATCAACAAAATAAACGTGCGATTAGATTTGTTAACGAAACGTGGCGCTTGTTAAACAACATGCACATACATATGTTAAATATTATATTACAATAAAAAGCATACACAAAACAAAAGTGCCGTCTGCGCCAGCAAAGTTTGCCTAACAATTAATAACAGTGTAAAAATGCATATTTAATAAATTTTTGCTATACTTAAGTATACACACATAATACATAAGGCCATATATACTGGTATGTATTTAAATTGGCAGCCAATCAAATGCCCGGTAGCTATTTTGACGTTTTGATTAGTTAACTCGCTCTACAATTGTCTTTGTGTACTTTCACATTATTATTGAAAAAAAAAATTGATTTATAATAAAAATAATTCTTAATTTTACAACTTTTACTCTTGAACCTATCGCAGCTTCTTTGCAACAGTGCTTCATTGTGTTTGTGAAAGTTTTGAAAATAAAATAAATAAATAAATTTTCTAAGTGCATACGTGTTGGCGTATTATGTGTGGCTATATCCACCAATTTGTTGTTAACTGATACAGTTATCTGATTTTGTTTCGACCACGTTCGGGAATATTCTTCTACATTGCAAAGGACCAAGAACAATTTCTGATAGAAAACTGTGTAGTTAGCGGCGACAAAACGGATATTTCACGAAGGTGAGTACTGAGTGAGTCGGTTGCATGGGCGTTTTCATGCACTCACTAGCCGACGGGATTTGTGGTACCAGACATATGTTTAGAATTTGTTTGATATTGGTTTCGAAAAAACGCAGAAGAATAATAGGCGTGTTCTTGCCTTAATGCTCAGAATATACATACTTTTAAACTATTTTGTTATACATTTTTCGAGGTGGCTTAAATTATAAGTTATTACTTCCGTTTATTTCCGTTTTTGCTTGCTTTAAGAAGAAAATTACTAAACTAGAGATAAATGTCGACAGAAATAATGAAGGAAATGAGGATGAAGATAGAGCACTAAAACCTTTTCGTAGATTCCTAACATGGCCCTGCATGATCTTCGAAGAGATAGCTGAAATATGCACTAGACACTAATTGGGCTTTAAGACCGTTGAAGGTCTTTAGTTATCCAATTACTGGAAAGGACGGAAATCTTTCTAAAAGTACAGACATACGGTTGTTATCGGAATGTTGAGAAATGAGTATGAGAAATCAGAGCTCAATTCAATCATTTCTGTTAAAGGGGTTTTATCCCTTTGCAGGTCAGAAAAACGCATTCTTTGAGAATTTTTTCGAAGACGCATTTGATTCAATAACTCATATAAGAAAATATACATTTAAAGAAATTTTTGTAATTTAATAATTTGCGATTCTTATGGAAACATTTTGGATTCCCTTGATACCGTAGCCGATCTCCAGGCGGACCCATTAAAAACTTATCTGGCGGTTAAGAAGAATTTTCTGCTTACAATTATCTCAAATCCAAAATCCATAAAACTTTACAATTGCTATAGGCGAATGCAGGTAATAATAGAAGTTCTAATAAAATATTGATTTTTGAGCAGCTTTCCCAAAAAAGTTGTTTCTGAGAAAAAATTTACACTAGGGGTAGCACAAAAAGCCTTCGTCACAAATCCCTTCAATAAATTAACTGAAAAATATATCTAAGAAGGTGGTGTCAGCAGTTTCGGAGAAGTTTTTTTATAGAATTTCGAAAAAAATACGTTTAAAGTGCGAGTCGTTTTCACCAAATTAAAAAATTTATAAAATAAGACAAAACATTAACTTCGGTTCGATCAGTTAGTTTGTAAGACATCTAACGGATGATACAAGTAAAGATACTTTTTCAATAACCTGCTTTTTGACAAATTACGCGTGAGTTGTGTCAAGCTGTCATATTATTTTTGTTCAGTATTGCTTGACATTTCATCATGGAAAGACTTACGTCTAAACAACGTTTACAAATCGTTCAATTTTATTATGATAATTAACGTTCTGAAAGGAATGTATTTTGCGCGCTTCGCTCAACTTAAGTTCAACATAATCGGCCTAATGAGCGTCCTATTCGCAACCGCTTTCTTCTTAATTGGCGTAGACACCTCTTACGCGATTACATCCGAGTTAACAACAGCGCGCCAGTCGTTTCTTCTTTTCGCTACGTGGCGCCAATTGGATATTCCAAGCGTAGCCAGGTCCTTCTCCACCTGGTCCTTCCAACGGAGTAGAAGTCTTCCTCTTCCTCTGCTTCCCCCGGCGTGTACAGCGTCAAATACTTTCAGAGCTGTTGTGTTTTCGTCCATTCGGATAAGATGACCTATCCAGCGTACCTGCTGTCTTTTAATTCGCTGAACTATGTCAATGCCGTCATATATCTCATACAGCTCATCGTTCCATCGAATGCGATATTCGCCGTGGCCAACGCGCAAATGACCGTAAATCTTTCGCAGAACTTGTATCTCGAAAACTCGCAACGTTAATTCATCAGTTGCTGTCATCGTCCAGGCCTCTACACCATATAGCAGGACGGAGTGCGACGACTGTTTGTTTCATGAGGAGATATTTCGGCTTGCCCTTGCTCACCTCTTCACCCATAATATTATTGGATAATATTCGACCGAATAGACCACGTCCAACACGCAGTGTACACGAAGACCACGTAGAGTCGCTTGTGCAAGAACTGAAGCCGCTCGACCTTCCTAAGCGATATCGCTTTGCTCTATAGGCTCTTGAAAAGTTCCAAGAAGATCCGATGTTTTCGAGCCAACTTTTTTTCAACGGTTCATTTCTGACTCAATGGGTATGTAAACAATCGAAACTGTCGTATTTTTCACCTTCAGAGCAACCTGAAGTGATTCAAGAGCTGCCATTTCATCCAGCAAAACAACGGATTGGTGTGGTTTCTGGTGGAATCATCGGTTCATACTTCTTCAAAAAGTGAGAACGCAATCGTCAATGGAGACGCGCCAAGATAACGGACCATTTCATGCCTAAATTGGAAAATCGAAACTGATCTTAGCGACATTTGATTTCAACAAGATGGCGCCACTTTCCCCACATTGCATCAATCAATGGATTTATTAAGAAAACTCTTCGATGAGCACGATGACAATTTCACGTTTTTTGCCGGTCGATTGGTCACAAAAATTGTGTGATATCACACTTCTCTCTATGGGGATATGTGAAGTCTAAATTCTATCCGAACAATCCCGCTTCGATTCTAACCTTGGAGATAGACGTGAGGCTCGAACGAGTCATCGAAAATTGGACTCAACGGATGGAACATCTGAGACCTAGCCGTGGATAACATTTGAAAGAGATGATCTTCAAAAAATAAACGTCAAAGAATTTTCTTTCGAATGATAAAAAACATTTTCAATTTAATTTGAAGCTTCTGGGTTTTTTCTTTAAAAAAGTAGAGAACCTTAAAATGGACCACCCTTTATATGTTTTCATTGAATTTTCCAATGGTATACATATATGTAAAAAATGTTCGATTGGATATTCCGTGTGTGGAATAATCTTCATAATTAAACCGGGAATTGAGGGATTAGCTTTTCTGAACGAGCCTCTGAAATGTTAAAAATAAAAAAAGTCTGTCAAACAAGCATAAACATCTCCTTAAACGACATTTTTATATAGTGAGCATATCAGTCTCTTCTTTTTATCATATCACTTATACGAACATATGTATGTATGTATGTCCTTTTTAATATTATATATTAAAAAAACACACATGCAAGTTTTCACAAAAATTTAATTTCCCATACATGATATCTTATCATCAGCAAATTTCTTTCTTCATATCTTGCGCCACGTATCTTATGCGGCCGGTTTAGGAATAATTCACATGTCAAAATTCTTGGCGATCACTTGGCTACCCCCTTTTCTTCAGATTGTTGCAAATAAAGGCGGCTATAAGCGCTGACATCCACTATCTTGCAATATAAAAAATCTGATAGACGCGTAAGACAGTGAAAAGGACATACGAGCATAGCAACAACAATTTACGAAAACATTGAAGAATATCAGAATGCGGGTCAGTTGATGTGTGTGCTGATATGTGATAGTTCATAGTTTGTTTGCGTTGTGCAGCGATTGAGGGAAGTGCAGCGCGTGCTTATACATACAAACATATGCATGTGTGTGTCGATTTGTAGATCGCACAGGACAGCATCAAATAGCAACTACGCATCGAACTGATGTTTGATTATTTGAGTTATTTCTTATAGTTGCTTACAACTTCACCAACGAATTGGTGGTGATGCCGCCTCATGTACATATGTGTGTGAGTGTGTTTCTATTTTCTTGTTGTTTTTATTTATCCTGAAGCAGTGAAATGTCCTTGCTACTGACGTACGTGCCACACAGTTGCTGGTAAGTTTCCACGCTGTTGATCGAAGTGATTCGATACTGTCGTTGCACGTGATCCAGACAAAGAATGCCACGACGATTTGTTCTTTGAAATTATTCTACTGATTTCGGTGCGAATATATAAGTAATTGTGTACTGTGAACCGACACAAGTGATGTGGCTGTACGCGTTTTAGGCAAATAGTTGCGAGTTAAAGCGCTACAAATACATACAGACAACGATGTATGCATAAAACCGCCTAAATTTTAGTATGACACGTTCGATTCGCCACAGGATAACAATTTTTTTCTTTTTCGAGAATTCACATATCTTTTCTTAATTTTAGTTGGCGATCGAAACTTGCTGATACCGAATTTTCTTTTGCAAATGTTTTTCAATTTTGTATTTTAAAATTTCCTTTTGGCTTGTTGACGATTCGACGAGACCGCTGAGTACTATTTGAGAGGCGTGAAGTAGTGTAAAAAGGCTAAAAAATATAAAAAAAAGTGCATTTAACGTGCAGAACGCGCCTGCGCATAAATTAAATGTCACTGACACGAATGATGAGTCTAAGTATTGATGGGCGGCAGAAAAAAAAGCTGCAGAGGCAAGCGGCACAGTTTGAGGGAGCAGTGGTAGTGTTAAGACAGCTTGCTATGCTATACATATAGACATTTGTATGTAATTATTAAGGTGCTTTAGGTGTGAATAATTTCAATAGAGGCATCAAATTAGTACACTTTTGAGAATGCGGAGGGGGGCGTTCGAAATACATCTACATATAAATGCATAAAATAGAATATAAATAAAGACAAATATACATACGGCATGACATAGCAGTTTTATTGACAGCAGCAGTGGCGACACTTAAAGAATTTATCAGAACATAAATATATCTATATACATACATTTCCCCAATAAGGAATACAAATTCATACATATATTAAAATCTTCAGCAGCATTTCCCTTTCGTCTAAGTTTTGCCTGAAAAGTAGTTTTTTCTACTCCCGACTTAATGCTTGACTGCCCACTAAATATATTATGAACGGAAGTTTGACTTTTGAATTCTACATACACACATGCATATGTATATTTATATGTGCACCATTCACTCTGCATGCATTTCTGTTTCGTCCTGTTTAGCGTAAGCTGCGACAACGTTTGCCTTAGCGGCTCAATTACGTCTCTGATTGAGCGTGAAATTTCTGATGTACCAAAGCGCGTGTAACCTTTGAACACAATATCATGCAAGTATAACTTCAGCAAGCTGTTTTGGCACCTACAATAATATATCAAACTATATATACATGTGTGTGTTTGTGCGCATGATGTACGGTCCGGTGCGATTA